AAGCCTCACAAACTTTATCACTTTTAGAATTTTAGTTCAAAATTTAAATTGGACTGTTATGAGAGCGAAAGTACCCATTAGCACTAAAATATCTGGTTATTAGATACATTTTCATCTTCTCAGGAATAAATTAATTACCTTGACTCATCCCAGGTTAAATCAGTTCAACAAATCGAGGTTCAAATCTTAAAAAAATCTTTAATCCATTCAAATCTTCTTAAATCAGGTTAAATCTTCCTAAATCAGGTTAAATCTTCCTAGATCAGCTTAAATCTTTTTAAATGATCCAATAAATCTTTAAATAACCTTAAATCACCTTAAATCAGTTATGGTTTGAATAAAAATCTCTTAAATCCGATCAAATCTGTTAAATCAGTTAAAATCAAGAGTGATTTTAAATCGGTGTACACATTTTGAGGAAGTTTGACCGCCCCCCGCTAAAAGCTATAATGCCAATATCACTAAACAGCATCCCCATCAATATGCCTGAATTTTCGGTATTGACAACAATGTGCCTTATACTAGTATTAGCTTTGTCATCAAAACTTGATTTTATGACAATAAAGCATATAGTCCAGGAGGTGGCGCCAAAAACATGCAAGAGTTTTCGCAAGGCGGATATTTTCAAAATAGGTCGTACTTTAGTGCTAGAATGCTAGTGTACAGTCAGCACTCACAGTTCCGGGACAGCTGGCTCTGGGACGCGGGCAAAGTTGTAATTTTAAGAAGCATCTAAACTGTTTTCTTAAAGCTCAAAATTTATAGAAATTTTGCACATTATCTGTTTGAAGGTCACAGATAACGTATGTAAATCGTCAGACGTCTAGTTCGTTGCAAAAAGGGGGTCAGACGTCCTCAAAGTTCTTATTTTATGGCATTTTCTTCGGTGTCCTGTCAAAATATATTTTTGCAGGTATTTGACAAATATATTTGAAGAAAATGCCATAAAATAAGAACTTTGAGGACGTCTGATCCCCTTTTTGCAACGAACTAGACGTCTGACGATTTACATACGTTATCTGTGACCTTCAAACAGATAATGTGCAAAATTTCTATAAATTTTGAGCTTGGAGAAAACAGTTTAGATGCTTCTTAAAATTACAACTTTGCCCGCGTCCCAGAGCCAGCTGTCCCGGAACTGTGAGTGCTGACTGTACACTAGCATTCTAGCACTAAAGTACGACCTATTTTGAAAATATCCGCCTTGCGAAAACTCTTGCATGTTTTTGACGCCAGCTCCCCAACTAATATTTTGATTTGATTGATTTGATTTGATAACTATATCACAGTATCACAGGATATATGACAAAAACCGCTTCATGATCTGATTTAACGGGATCTATTAGGTATGATATCAGTATCACTCACCAGCACCAAGTTGAGAGCTTCTTGAGACCCCTGAATAATTCTTGTCGGGTCTCTTATCAGCTAATTTAACGCAAATGACAAGGAGATTTCTGCAAATACCTGTAACAGTAGCTATCTGGAGACAGTTCATTGGTTTAGGTCACCAGTAATAATGCATATCTAGAAATGCCTCTGGTATTGAGTCATATAGACATTAAAATGCTCCATAGGATATAGATGGAGGCCTATAGATTATGCCAAGAGCACATGATAGTTTCTTGATGTTGATCTTCAACCACAACTGTTCAACAGTCTCGTTTGTGGTGGTGAGGTCCAATACACAAGCTCTAAAGAAAGTAGCTAGCAGTGGGAGAAAAAAGTTGAAGCCTTTTATATTGGAGTGAGTAGTATAGGTCTATGGTAGTATCCATTTGTTCAGAGATATAGGTCTCTGTGATGACAATTTGTTGCACATTGACTTTGGGTTTATATGAAGTATTTTGACTTGGTTCAATGCGGTATTATTATTACTGGGATGACAACTGCTATTTATTATTCACTTTATTTTCGCCAATAATAATAAGCCTATTTGATGATACAAATTTTTTAACTCTTATTAGGCCTTTTCGGAAATAGTGATCTGATTAACCCGATCACCAGCTGTTTGTCTTTTATCTTCCTTTAATGAATAAAATTGAAAATAGACAAAGGATATCAGCTGATGATCCGGTTAATCGGATCAGTGTTTCCGAAAAGGCTTATTGTTATACTGAAATTTTTTTGACAGTTCTAACAGCCAGTTAAATTTTGTTATTTCTTGTCATGTGACACAAATTACCCAATCATGTCAAAATTATACTGAAAACAGCCCATGGGTTGTTTTCACTGTATGACATTGTCACGGACATTGCTTTCAAAACATTTTCTATCCGAATACTTAACCCTCAAACATTGATAAATGCTCAGAAATTTTATAACTTTCACAAGCTTGTTACTTATAGAAAACAGACCTCCGCTAGCGCGTCGGTCTGTTTTCATGCAACAGGCTTTCGAAATCTGTTATAAAATTTTTTGGACAGTTATCAATGTCCTTGGGCTATTACTACTGAATAGAGAAATACTAGGGTTTTTTTTTCCGGAAGCACACAAAAAAAGAAAATTGACGTGTCCGAGAGGAAAGTCAGGAAAGTGTTGATTTGAGAATTACAGGGCCAGAAGATTGTTTCTTATTAAGCCTATGGCAACTGTGACAGTAAATATCTTGAGAACTAATCATTCTATTTCCAAAAAAGGTACTCGTGCCGAGAATCTAAATCCCTTCAAAACAAGGTATCACTCGACCCATCTTCCCTATCTAAAAAAGAGGGGTGAAAGTCACCCCACCCAGGGGCTGCACCGCAAAATACCTACCGATGGGGTCGAAAAGTTTCCCCCCTTGAATACAAAATTGACGTGCCCGAGCGTTTTTTTGAAATCGACCTTGAAATACCTCAAAACACGTCTGTTTCGTGAAACACCCTGTATTATATTAGGTCTGTTTCTGCAGAAATCACAAACCAGTCAGAGCGAATTTCATTGGTTGAAAACAGTCAGAAACAGTCAGAAAACTAGTTTCAACCAATGAAATCCACTCTGACTGGTTTGTGATTTCTACAGAAACAGACTCATTATAATTATGGTCCAATTCATTTTGAAAATTATCCATGTACCCTATCAGGTTAACCCTATCAAGGTTTGAGTCACAAAAAATCAACATTTTTAGGCAAATACCAGCCTAATTTGAAATAAGTAGGTATCTACCTCACAATAAATTCTTTATTATTCGTCATCATCTTCCTGTGTCTGAAACTTTTGTCTATCACTACATGTGATGATTTTTTAAAATTCAAATGCCTGGTATACTTATATTTTAAAAAATCCGATTCTACACCCGGTATATATTTTAAAAAATCAGATTCCATAGGTGACAAGTATGAAGTCATGAGAATTTTTATTTCTTTTTAATTTTTCCCTGATTTTTGAGCGATCTATACCTATTATCCGTTCACAATCCGATGTCCACAGGTAGGTACAGGTAAAATCACCTTTCAATGCTGTTTGATAGGGAAAGGTGATAAATTTACCTGCACCTGTGGACATCGGATTGTGAACAGGATATAGTCGTAGGTCGTAGACTCGGTCGTAGATATACTTATTTATTAGTTATGTCATCCAGGTGAGAAAACGCAACATCCAACTATACAAAATGATGTGTAACAGTATTGCTATTGTTGTTTTATTTTACCCTCGATTTTACTCTTCCGTCCTCACTTTTCTCAATGTATTTATTTACTGGATGATCCATTAGGTATATAGCGGAGATTTACATTTTAAGTTGATTTTTGAGAAGTACCTACGCCACTGACTACTTAACTGTTAATAGAACTAATTGAAATTTCTCCAAATAAATTTAGAGGGTGGAGCAGCTTTATTTGAAGAACATATTAAAAATAGTCGTTAAGAAATTCTGATTTACAAAACTACAATGTCACATTTACAACATTGCCGCACCTTTTGGAAATCCTAGTCGTTTTTTTTCTCTTTCGCTTGTTACATTGTTTTGAATTAACGTTCCGGTTGTTTTTTGAATAATTTGAAAGAGTTGGCAATGCTGGCCGGGAGTTTAAATCGACCTTTTTTTAGAGCCTTCTCACCAAACTTAAATTCCACCGAGAGCTCCACAAATCAAATTGTAATAGCATTTGGTTGTTTAATTTACACCAGTACCATAATTGGTAAGTTGCAGAAACTTTCCTCTTTCTTTCAAACGTTAGCTTTCATAATTTCTAATTGTATATGCATTTGAAGTAGCCCTCCCTGTTTTCTTATAGTAAGTGTACGTGGACAATTGCTGACATTGCTTAGAAAGTCGTTGAATAAACGATATTACCAAGTACGAGTGAATGGAGAAATGTCAAGCATAGACATTAGTTCAGAATGGAATTGTTCAGGGATCGATGTTGGGGCCACTGCTCTTTACAGCCTATCTATTCGAATCTTGTTGATCTGATTGAAACAAGCATGAAAAGTTTTGCTGGCGATTGAAAACTTCATGCAAACCTACTACTTAATGCAGATCAACTCCAGAAAGACCTAAGAAGGGTTGAAAACTGGTCAGGGTTGTAAGGAATAAAACTGAATGAGACAAAATGTACAAAGGTTGGAATTGGTCCAAACAATCCAAACCACGAATACTCTTTGAACAGGGCAGTTCTATCAACTGTAAGGCAGAATTAAACACATTATTGCTTTGTGATAGATAGACTTGCCTATATCTCAATTTGAACAAACATATTATAATCAATAACAAGTGGATTCTGAAGTTATTCAAGTAGGACAATCCATATGCATATTTAGGTTGAAGGAGTTTAGGAATTCCAACAAGAGTTTAGCAATTTCACAGAGTTTGACTCTAATAATAGATTTGTATTAAAATTAGTTTCAATTAACACTGAAAAGAGTTTAACAAATTATGTTTACAAAAGTTCATAAGTAGAGCTTTTCTCACTGAATATCCAGAAACATGTTTTGAGTAGGTATATGTTTAAATTCCTATCGTCATGGAAGGGTGTTGGCTTTCTACAAACTCATTATAGTTCTCATTCTTTTTACAGGAAACATCATGGAATCGACTCAGAAAAAGTAGTTATTGTTTCAATAATAGGCAAAAGCTCACTAAACACGTCCGGTCTAAAAATCAAGTCAATTGGACGACTATTTCCTTTGAACGAAAGGCCCAATAAGGTTTGTTCAGCAGCATTCAATACACGTTTCACTATTTCTTTTTCCACCAATTTTAGACTTGTATTAAAGGTTCATATGATGAAAAACATCAAATAGTTTATCTGCATTTGTTCAGTCTACTAGACGCTGACGTTTTAGTAGAAAGTATGGGAGGTTTCGACGACGATAACGAAGTTCCTGAAGATTTTGATTTTCTGTCAATGTACGACGAAATCAAAGACACATTTAGCAGACATCTTCTGTTCTTGTTCTATGTGAGCCATATTATTATTTTATCACATCCTGGAAGCACTTTTGATACTAGTTACATTCAGTATTTTAAAGCCTTGGACTTATTGAGGTAAATATTGTGAAAAGAAACAATAATTTGTTTTGATGCGGTATTTTTAGCAAAAAACTATTTGATAAAATTTGCAATAGTTTAAAGTCGCTTGATAAATTAAACTCTGATTGGGTGGCTAATGGTAGACCGTGTACTCCAAGAATGCTTTTTTATTTTGAAAGATCAAACACCAAGAATAAAAACCTTATTAAAAAATTGGAGCATAATATGGAAGATAAAATTTATCACATATTGAAAAAAACTCGGATAATCACAACAACCGGGTAAGAATTGTGATTTTTAATTCTAATTTTTTGTATCTCATGAAGTTTTTTTTAAGCTGTTCCTTGTTTGCGATTCCATTGAACGACGAATTCGTTTACGTAGATGAATCAGCTCCAAAAGATGAGCTTACCGAAGCTGTTAGAGGATTACTTCAAGATTGTCAACCGGGTGTCTCGACGCAAGTGCAAGCTCCATTTTCTACCGAACCGTCTTCCGAAAAAGATTTTGTGAAGTTTTTACTTGTTCACGTTCAACAAGCCAAGAACAAAGGATTCAACGATACTGCGTCTTCTTCAAGACACCAACACGCTCCTGCGCATTTTGAAGTAATTCAAATCTGATTTGTTTGTTAACAAAGTAATTAACCAATTGTTATAGTTGCCAATTCTAGGTCACTGGATCGCAGCTTCACAATGTCTCTACAGTTTAATCATCGAAGAAGAAACCCCAATAACCTCCTTACACACTGACACCCGTTTTTCTGAACAAAGATGTCTTAAAGTCTTACCTCTAGCTGTCGCTAAGTACCAAGAAGGTTTACCGCCACATTATGCCAAAGCCGAACACGAAGCCCGATTAGCTGTAGCTTTGAATCTGTTCAGGACTCAAGCTAGAGGACCCAAATATGCTCAGTATGAGCTTCAATTGGAGGTCGAGTGTCAAGCGCATTGGGAGAATGGTAGGCAACAATGCGAGGCTGCTTCTATGACCGGGAACCCTTGCAAATTGCCAAAGCACGCACCTGACCAGGAACATATTAGTGGAATTATATACAAATGTAAGAATTTTTGTATTATCTTGTACAGGGTCATTCTGGCTTGCTGTATGTGACAACATCAAAGCAATTTCCGTTTTTCAGCTGCATGTGATTGTGGTCGGAAAATTGGCAACAGAGACGACCCCTACACAGTGATGCAAGCAAACTATCAATTCTACCAACAAATGGCTACTAAAGAATGTCACTGTTCAAAACTAGAAAGAATCGAGTTTCCAATTTTTGAACCATCCATCGAGGAATTCAAAGCAGCCACGATTCAGGAAACTGAAGAGGCGATATCTGTTTTAACAGATAAAAGTGCTCAACTTAGTCTAGAGGTAGGTTTCAGGGAGATTTCCTAAGTATATTTGTTAGAATTTGGATTTTTTTGTAGGTTGACAAAGGTTTAGTGAGGCAACCAAGCACCACAGAATATTTACCGGGAATGTTAACGTTAAATTCACCACCAGGACTACTTCCCGTGTTTCCCAGTTGGTCTTTGACGTGTTTGGGAGCCTCATCCATATACAGTCATAATTTAGGTAAGACTCAATCTTTTACATTTTCACGCCATTTATTATCTCTTCAAATTGTGTCTATTCAAACATATAGGTTTATCTGACTCTTACCATCCCGGATTTTTGAGTTCCACCAATTACCTTCTCCCCTGGGACGTTGCAGTCGGATCGAAATCGCAAAAAGCTTGGCCAGCTATTGGAAAATACACGAACAGAGGTAGAAGAGGAAGATCGACAAGCACAAGTTTGCCTCAGACTGTCAAAGTTTTTATTGGAGTTGAATATGAGTGTTCTTCTGGTCATAGGTTTAAAAATACAATAGTATATTTGTGGATCAATGAAAATTTTTAATATGACATTTGCAGGTTTATGCTTTCTGCTCCAGACCGAATGTTGAAGGCAGCTCCGGGTAGTATTGTAAAGGAAACCGGTCATAAAATTGCAGAATCTGACGTGCCTTTGTATTTTCTCTGTACTTGTCGGCCAGGAAAAATGGCACAACTTATGAGGCTGCATGTTGTTACTCCAAAAGCTTCGGTTTATTGTACTCTAAATCCAAAGGTAAGAATTTATCCACAATGGTATAATCACCAGTTATTGATTAATATGTGAATTTTTAAGTAGGTGATAAATTTTTAGTTGTTTGTTGAAAGTTCCAATAGAGTTTGAATCCTTAATGTTCACACTTATTTCTGTTTCAGGTTCAACCAGGTGCAGGAGCTCCAATTTTTATAAGTACCAGCGATGGACCAATTAAACTAACCCAGTCGTCTTACTGGGTGATGAGACTTCCGTTTGCTTATGTTGCCGATAAGGAACATTTCAAGCAAAACCTGACTGGAAAATTGTTGCAAGGAACTTTTGGTGTCGTTGAAGCTGAATAGATTTTAAAATTATTTATTTTGTATTGAATTTTTAAGTGTACAAATAAGTTTTAAATATTTATAATTTTATTAATAATGAATATTTATTGTGCATTTACTTGAATAATAAAATATTGAAATACCTATATTAGGTCCATTAATTCCTAAAACCAGTCCTATAGAAAAAAAATCCCAATTTAAGTCTTGGTACATAGTTGCCTATATTTCGTTTCTTTTTTTTTGTAATTAAAACTAAACAAAACTAGGAGGATACAAAGTACCTATGTTTTTAAGTAGTGTAAATATGAACAAAGATGAGATTCTAAATATGTTACACAAAAATATTCTGTTGGAACTTACTGAGCACATCACTGATGGAAGAAAATCCATTTGAATCGTCAAACATCCTCCAATCCCCAATGCCCACCAGGAATTTGAACGAACAGAGACAAAGTAACATGTACGATGGTACATATTCGTACGGAGGAAAAATAAAAATTAAATTTTAAAGTGTCTCCTTGAACGGAATTATAATTTTCCTACGACCACATACGAAAATGACAAAATCCGCACTAGCTGGTTCTTTAGAAAGCGCTAAATATCACACACGTGCTGAAAGTACTTTCAATACGCATGCTCAAAGTACTTTCAGCACACGTGTGGAAAATACTGTTGACATTATTTGTGATTGGCATCACAATTTACTTTCAATACGTGGATTGAAAGTACTTTCAGCACGTTTGTTGAAAATGAAAAGAAATAAAATAAGAGAAAATTAATGTAAATCGGTTACTGGTCGTAGGAAAAATGGTGTACGTCACTTGTGAGAAAGCGTCTTTCATGCACTCGTGTGATTTTCGCACTCGGCTACCGCCTCGCGCGAAAAAACAGTCGTGTGAAATTTGTCACTTTCTACACTCGTAATGTAATATATACTATTATTATGGGCGCGAATCTTTGAGATATCTGGAAAATGAACGCCTTCAAATTTTATCGGCTTTTGGATAAGTAAAGACACCCCTAGGATTAGGAGAATTGAACACTGTATAATAAGGAAAATAGATTGAAAAATGTGTCAAATTTGATTTGCCAGATAGGCCAGAAAATTTCAATACCGCGGCACTTACGAAATTATGTAAACCACACTTAAAACTGTCTGGAATTTGACATATACTGTCATTATTATACGAGGGTCAACCTGCCAAATTTCCATGGATAATGCTACGCCAATAATAAGTGAAAAGCATTACACTATAAATACTAAATACCTTGCGTTCGGTATTTTGCTCAAAGAGCAGAGCGTGCCGAGCGGAGCCATAATCACGTGACCAGTGAGCGAACAGAGCAGTTGAACGCTGTATAAAAGTGCCAGAAATTTTAATAAACGAACGCGAATGAGGCTGCACCGAGTACACTTTTTAAATAAACGAACGGTAAAGTCAAGCTCGGAGAACTCGGACCAAAATAACGAACGCACGGTTAGTCTACATAGTTTTCATAGTCTACATGGAAAAAAGTGGATGTAAACAATACGTAGATGTAGATAACGAGTAGACAAACCGCGTAAAGTAGATTTCATAGTCTACGGCAGATCCCTGCATCAAAAACGTTCGTCGGCTCTCAAACCAGAAGTCATTTATATTTGTCAAAATGAAAAATAGTAAAGTCTGTTTTTTTTTAAAGATAAAAGTCAAAATGACATTCTGTTGGCAATACAATGTAAAATTGTCAATGCTTTCAAATTTTTTATGTAGAAAAGGCTTGTGTTGCCAACATAATTACTAAATTTTTGACTTGGGGAATTATCTTTAAAAAAAAAAAACAGACTTTATATTGTTGTATTAGGAGTAGAAGCTTCACTTTTTTGTGCTGAAGCGGTAGGTTTGCGAGCCGAACGTAGTGAGGCTTGAGGCTTGCAATACTGCTGAAGCACAAAAAAGTGCTTCTACTCCGTATGCAACACGCTATTTTTTCTCCAAACGAATGGGGTAAGCTCCGGGGCAAGTGAATGGTTGAGCGGCAGTAAAAGTACGCGTACTTCTACTGCCGCTCCAGCGGCACTAAAAGTACTTTTGCTGCCGCTAGGGTTGCCAAGCAGCATAGAAATTAAATTTCTACCACCTCGACAGGTGTTAACCCGCTGGATTTGCCTAGCAGCATAGAAATCAAACTTCTGACATCTTGACAGGAGTTAACAAAGTGACGTTTTTCTGACGTTTGGAGAAAATAGTTATTTGTTTCACTAGGCAGAAAAGTACAAGATTTAATGCCGCGGCTGGTGTTTCATAGCCGAGGCTAGGAAACCAGCCGAGGCATTAAATCTGCTTTTCTGCCATGTAAAACATATAATTTTTTCTCCGAATGTTCAAATTCACACATGGACGTCTTTTTTATATTTATTTCATTCATTATTATTATCCAAATAATTTAATTATTTTGACAATTGTCATTGTCAACATCAATTTCAAATACAAAATTGAGTGAAATTATTACCTGGAATGTTGTGACACTGTCACTTTTAATGCCTAGGCAGTAAAAGTCCACTTTTACTGCCTAGGCAGTAAAAATACAACTTTTGATCCTGTCAAGTGTCATTAAAAGGCCGCTTTTACTGTCATTCGGAGAAACATTAAATTTCTACCACCTCGACAGGTGTGAACAGTGATGTTAACCCGCTGGATTTGCCTAGCAGCATAGAAATCAAATTTCTGAAATCTTGACAGGGGTTAATAAAGTGACGTTTTTCTGACGTTTGGAGAAAAATTTATATTTGTCAAAATGTAATCCAATTTTTTTTTCTTCTATACCTATTCACAACGTATCAGTGGTGTAGCCAGAGGAGGGGCCTCCCACTGAACAAAATAAGATTACAGTAATAATGAGGTAACATTACACTGCAAACTTGTAAGGTTATATTGAAGTTTACTGTAATGTTGACGCAGTATTGCGGCAAGTACTGAAACAACCTTAGGGTAATATTACAAATGCAAGGTTTATAAATTATAACCTTTCAGCAATATTACTGGAATATTAGATCAAAACTTCAGCAAACTTACGAGTGTAAGGTTACAAATTCAAATATACCTTAGGGTTACTTGCAATTTATTAGTAAGTTTACTGCAAATTATGCATTTTTATTACAAATATATTGGGTTCGCAACTTTACTGCAATAAAAAAGTAATGTTGCAACTGTAAATACTATGTACCTATACAGAGAGATTTGAGTTGCGGTGCATAAACTCTAACAGCTTGTTCTAAAAACAAGCTGTTAAAATTAAAATAAAAAGGTTGGTAGGTATATTATGTATATCTATAATACTCACAATAAAAAAATATACTTTGGTGAAAAACAAAACGTAAAAAGTAATATCTCAAAGCAAAATAAATAAAAATTCTAAACAGAAAAAAAAAAGCGAAATTTTAGATTGGTTGACACACAGGACGAAGTAGGTACTGGCTGCTACCACAGCTGCTACTTATATTGTCACCTGAAACAAAAACAAAATCAGGGAGTAGTTCTGTATTTTTATTATAATAATTCTAGGGTGTCCAGGCTCCCTTCCAAATTTCAATTTCAAGAACCAGAAAATGAAAAACCAGCCAGATTAGGATTTGCGAATTTGGTATTTATCAAGTTTTAAATTGAAGAAGTAGTCCATATCTCAAAGTGAAGTTGAAATTTATTTCAAAAGAAAAACTCAAAAGCTATTTTTCCACAGATATTTTAATAGTTTCAAAAAGCCCTACATGTTTTAAGATTAGTAAATCTCAGCATCAGCGGCAATAAATTAGCTCATATTTTAACAGGAATGGATATCATAGGCTGCCAAATTATGCATTTTGTAGAGGAAAAAAAGGTCAAAAATAAGTTAAAAATTACTTTATTTCCTACTGAACTATTATAATCATATAATACCTTGGTTACGATAATCGTAAACAGGGTCTTAGCTCCCAAGGGAGTTAAGGATTTTATAACTCCCGCGCGGGAGTTAAGGATATCATAACTCCCAAGGGAGTTAAGGATTTCCATAACTCCCGCTTTTACCTTGAATAGGTAAAACTTTGACAAAAAATAGAAATTTTGGTTTATGGTTTATTTTTTTATAAAAATGGACAAAATACAGTAAATTCAGTAGGAAATAAAATTATCTATGTACCACGGGAATTATCAGGTGTTAATACCCACGGACAATTGGTGTCCCTCGAGCCGAAGGCCCTCGGGACACAAACTGTGCCCTGGGGTATTAGCACCCTCATAATTCCCCTGATACATAAATAACTATTATGTCAGATTGTGTCTATTTTTTACATCTCTGATTTTTATCTTTTCTCATTAATCTGACAATAGTTATTTGTTTTACTAGGCAGAAAAGAACAAGATTTAATGCCGCGGCTGGTGTTTCATAGCCGAGGCTAGGAAACCAGCCAAGGCATTAAATCTACATTTCTGCCATGTAAAACATATAATTTATTCTCCGAATGTTCAAATTTACACATGGACATCTTTTTTATATTTATTTCATTCATTATTATTATCCAAATAATTAAATTATTTTGACAATTGTCATTGTCATCATCAATTTCAAATACCAAATTGAGTGAAATTATTACCTGGAACGTTGTGACACTGTCACTTTTAATGCCTTGGCAGTAAAAGTCCACTTTTACTGCCTAGGCAGTAAAAATACAACTTTTGATCCTGTCAAGTGTCATTAAAAGGCCGCTTTTACTGTCATTCGGAGAAAAAGTCGTTTTTAACTTATTTTTGACCTTTTTTTCCTCTACAAAATGCATGATATGGCAGTAACCTATGATCACCTATGATATCTATTCCTGTTAATGGTAAAGTCTGTTTTTGTTTAAAGATAATTCCCCAAGTCAAAAATTTAGTAATTATGTTGGCAACACAAGCCTTTCCTGCAAAATTTGTCAGCAATATTGTATCGACCTTACTTTAGAAAATTTATTACGTAATGTGACGTTAAGCTTTCTAAAATATCACTTATCCAATGTTAAGAGATATAAATTTGATATAACTTCAATAGAAAAACATTCGTTTTAGTTATCAAGTAAGTTGCAGTAAATACAATAATGTATTACATTTGAAACATTATAAAATGTAAGTGAAATAAATATTATAACAAT